AGCATTAGCAGACCAGTGCTTATTCTACGGCACCACAACAGGGTTCAAAAGGGGCCTTATTGTTGTTGTGACGTGTCATCAAGTTGGTTGTGACTCATAACCACCCTGTATAGAGATTCCGAGGCTGAAAATCTTTACAGGAGCAGAAAGTCTCATCTTTCTTCTAGGGAATGGCTGGTGTGCTTGAACTGCTGACCTTGTGGTAAGCATTCCAGTGTTCATCCTACAGAGCCACTACACTTATCATAAGGGGTCTCTGTTGTTGCTATTAAAATAGTGCCATCAGGTTGGTTCCAAGTCATAGTGACCCTGTACAGGGTTTCCCAAGAGCAACTAGTGGCTTTGAACCACCGACCTTACAGTTACCAGTCCATTGCTGATTCTACAGTGTCACACTAGGACTCCTAAGTAGTCTTATTGTTGTTGTTACGTGCCATCAAGTTGGTTCTGACCCATACTGACCCTGGTATATGGTTTCTGAGTAGCAGCTAGCTGGTGAGCTTGAACTGCCAACCAAGAGGTTCAAACCAACTCTGCAGTCGAATGCATTAACCCACAGCGCCACACCAGGAGCTTTAGGAGCATTTAGAAAGAAAATGGACATTTATAAAGTACGTTTTAGGGGCTAGACTTCTCCACTGACTTACTCCTCACAGCAGCCTTACTGACCCCTACTCCATTTATAGATTAAAATTTAGGATCAAAGAAGTGAAACAATTTGAGTAGGGCCCCAAAGACGAAAATGAATAGACTATATCACTCAAACATCCATCTTTCTGAATGCCAAACCATGTTGTCTTTGCTACTTTTCATCCTACCATGTGCAAATGTAATCTGAATCCTAGAGAAGGAGAGATGAATTCTCTAGAGTCCATGAAAAGAAATTTCAGAACGGCCAAGAAAAAATATGGTGTCAGAAATAAATTATTGGAAAAAAGAATAGAATCGCTTTCCAAGGCTTAAACCAAGATAATAACCCTATTGGTTTGACCATGCAAAAAATATTACCAAGAAATAATTTTTATAAATTCTTTGAAAATAACTTTTTTCCCCATAATACATTGGCTATCACAAAGAAAAACAATGTTTAAAAAAATGGTGGTTGTGTGCCGTGGGATTTCCTCACAGGTAAAAGTACATCAAAGAAGATAAGAGTCCCCACTGAACAGTTTTCATATTGTCTAGATGGGTCTGGTGAAAGGAGATGAGGATACAATTCTTATGATTCAACAGTGAGTAACTGTTATCATGACTAATTGCAACAGTCACAACTGTAAAGGTAGAAGTTTTGTAACAAAAAAGGGAGTAGTAGTTAATCATACATTCCAGAACAGAGGCCCCCTAGGACATCAAGGGAGAAGAGCACGAGTGGAATGTGGGATCCTATCTAGTAGTGTAGTGGTTACAAATCAGGCTGCGAACCTTAAGATCAGCAGTTCAAAGCTACCAGCTGTTCCGCGGGAGAAAGATGAGGCTTTCTGCTCCAGTAAAGATTTACAGCCTCAGAAACCCTGTTCAGGGTTGCTTTGGGTTGGAACCGACACCATGGCACATAACCACCACCATCTAGAGCAGTGACACCAGAGATGGAGGCAGAGATAAGGACACGGAGAGAGGAAGCAGCTGAGGATCTAGAATCATGGAAAGAGAAAGATGGTGTGCAGGCAGCCAGGAGGCAGGCTTGCAGAATGTGCCCTTTGGTTATGTAAATGATTATATATTCCTAAGTGTTTTTGTGTACATCCAAAACAAAGGAAAAACAAAACCCCAGAGGGAATAGAAGCAAATACTGTGGAATGATGATGCAGAGGAGACTGTAATCAATGCAATGAAACAATGAGTGTAAAACCGATGTTCTCCGATGTAAACTATCACTCAATTCACAATTAAAACTGAAAAAAAAAAAAAGTACATCTGAAGATCCCGAAATAAATTATAAGGTATTTCTAATTTTGATATCAGAAATAAGAATGCCAAGAAAATTCTACTTTCATAAATATAACTGACTAATCTCATCGGCACATTTTTACCTGTGATCATCCAACGAAGTATGTTTTCTTGAATGGTACTCTATATTGAGATAGTCACTGACTAGAGACTCAACAATACAATAAAGAGACTATGGAATTCAAAGAATAATTTATTTAAATATATGAGATGCCAGTTTAGGTTAGAAAAGAAAGCAAAGGAAATAAAACTATCAAATGTGAGTCTCCAGGAAACCATAAATACAATACAAAGAAAGATCATTTTTGTACTGATAGGATGTAAAGGAGCCAAGGGCTCAAAGCAAATACAAGGGGAACATGAACCAACAATGAAAAGCTTTTATTCAACAAGTAATTATAAAATTGGAAATGTATAAGTAACGTTCTGTATGGGTACTATGCACGAGCAAATCCTTCCAATATGTTAATAAAGCCCTGTTAGACCCTTATTGGAGTACCAGGTTTATAATTTAAGGAATTCACAGGTGTAATGTATCCCTGAGCACTAATAGCATAACTATGCGAGTAAAGAATAACTCAGATACAGATGCCACAGCAGCAGCCAGGGGCAGAAATAAAACTCTATATGGGAGAACGCCTAGCACTCCACTAACTGTTTTCTTTTTACATTGAAGTAAGCAGTCTTGTAACTAACCACAATCGCAAATGTGCTCTCTTAAACAGTTCCAAACCACAAGGAAAACCACAAGGAAATACTACTTGCTTTAGTTCAGAGATATAAAAGTTCCCAACATGCTATTAATAGAATTGTTGGAATAAATCCTAAAATACAGGATATGTTGGTTAGATCACCAATATTAATTTAAAAATGGGCTCAATAGCTATTTTAAAGTACTAGTTTGACAGATACCTACTTTCAATGCAAAATTTGCTTTCCCTTTCTGCTGTAACTATAATTATATATAGTACATGATTTTAGAATACAGTCTGATACAAAATATATTGTTTCCAAATAAAAATTTAGGTAGATCAATTATTTTAAAGGACTGGCATTTGTTAGCTAAAAGCTACTCTTGGATGGTGGAAATCTTCCCTTCTACTTCCTAACTCACCAATGTCAGTAATAGAAAGCACTGGCTGCAACTGTATAATCAACAATCTACTCTCCAAAATGGAACCGACTCCACGGCACACAACAACAACAACTCTCCAAAATGACCACGTGTCTCCTCTCTTATATTTATAACTACAATTTAAAAAGTGAAACACTGATTAATAAAGCATGCTAAAAAGTAAAATTAAAAGCAAAAAGGCCATGCACACTATAGAAACTGAAGTATAGGTTCTCACCTAAAGATAACAAATTCACATAATGCTGAAATAATCGGATGTAGCACAGATAGACTTATTGACATTTTGAATCATAACAAACAGATGGGAAGGAAAACAGATTTGGAGAAACAAAATTGTGGGTCCTACTGAATATAAATATTATGTTGTTGTTGTTAAGTGCCATCGAGTCGGGTCCGACCCATAGCGACCCTGTACAGGGTTTCCGAGGATGTAAATCTTTACGGGAGTAGAAAGCCTCATCTTTCTCCCGCGGAGCGACTGATAGTTTCGAACCGCTGACCTTAAGGTTTGCAGCCCGATTCGTAACCACTACGCTACCAGATTGCTATTTATATTATTCTATCACACTTTTCTTTTAACACATGGGGGGGTCACATTTTTAGTCTACAAACAGAAAGGAAAACACAAACTCAACACAAAATTAACTAATTTAGCTTTTCTTAATTCAGTCCAATACAAGTATCATTGATTTCCTGAATTTTTTTAAGAGGCCCCACTTTTTTTGGATGGATTTTTGAGGAGGTGGGAGGGTATAAATTTTGTATGATGGATTTCAAAAAGTTTATAGAAAAATGGAGTTGAACGATAAAGGGATTTTTTTTCCCACTGACATTTTGACTATTGATTGGTTGAGTTTTAAAAGCAATCTTTGCTGGCTTGATGTTAAGTACCGTGGAGTCAGTTCCGACTCATAGTGACCCTGGCTGCAAATCTTTACGGGAGCAGAAAGCCTCATCTTTCTCCAGTAGAAAAGCTGGCAGTTTCGAACTGCTGACCACGAGATTAGCAGCCCGATAAGTAGCCACTATGCTACAAGAGCTGGCTAGTTAACTGAACAAGCCTATTACCTTACTGGTGCTTATTCTCTTCCACGACGCAAACTGCGCACAATACTAAGTAGCATTGTTACAGAATACAAAATTAGACATTGTAGCATTTGTTGTAGAATTCCTGTCATTTAAAATGAGTTATTTACAATAACTAAGTGGCAAGACAAGGAAACAAGTATTTTACAGCATTTTTATTTTGTAGTAGAGTAAGTATCCAAACCACAAATGAAACCTGTAACTCCTGTGCCTTTTAGAAAATATACAAAAATGGACACCATTAACATGTAAAGAAAGAAAGAAGAGGCATGCTTAATTTTTGGAAACATGTGGTAAGATCCTATTACGATTTTCAATTTAAAATTCTGTGTATCTTTTTCTTGCCTCTGAAGGAAGAAACCGGCTTGGAAACTGGAAGGTAAGTGTTTCTGGAACAATGCTGCTTAAAAATAGGCACACATACACATAACCACCAACACCACCCATACACATAGGTGCTCAGTATATCTACAGCTACATACAACAGATTATTTGCTTTGTGGTATAGGAAATTTTATTTTTAAAACAAACTTGATTATTCTATCACAAAGTATCTATAAAATGAAGCTAAAAATGAGGAACAGCTAATTTAGAGATTATTGTATTAGTTCTTTCATTAAGACTCAAAAGACACAACTGAAAAAATATGGGTCCCAGTTAGAAATAATGTTTAAATGACAATTCATCTACCAACTTCAAGGAGGTACATGATTGTTACATGACTGTAACAGAGGGAAGTTTTCTTTCCTTTTTCCATAACATTCTCCAGAAATTAAGGCATTCTAAGTGAAACACAAATGGGAAGAGGCACTCATAAAGCATGTAGACTTACCCCGCTTGAAAACTTAATCACCCTGACTTTGGAGCTGACGTGCGGCCCGTCTCCACTCCCAGTGTTTGCCCGCTGCATGACCGTCCTTTTTACTCCAGGTTTTACTTCCTGGGGCCGGCCTTGGACGGAAGCCACTCTGGCAGTCTGTGGTGAAGGGGGCAATTCCTCTAGTTCAGCAGGTTTTGTTTGCAGTACCTTGAGAGATGGTGGAGTTTGACTCTGAGGAACTGTTCTGGCCTGTCTCAAATGTTTCAGTGGTTTCAGCTGTTGTCCTTGATACTGCATATTAGCACCAGGTGGTACAAAACTTGATATTTTGGGCTGAACACTTGAAACTGTGACATCTTGGTTTTTAACAAGAAGTCTGTTTTTCACATTTTGTCTGACCTGTGCACCTGGAAAGGGCAACAATGGGTTGCCATTGGTGGGTAAAGGTGATGCTGTCCGTTCTTCTTGCTCTCCTGGGAACTGGAGGGTATAGAGCGGCTGCTGTTGCTGCTGCTGCTGCTGCTGCTGAGCAAGTCTTTCAAGAAGCTCCTTCTTTCGAGCACCGGCCTGCTGTTGTCGGCGTAACTCCTTTTGTTTCAGAATTTCTTCTCTTAGGCGCTTTTGTTCTTCTATCTTTAAACGATATAGCCTTGTTTCTTCATCTTCATCTGGAAACTAAAATAGGTAAGATATGTTACTTACTTTGAACTACAAGGCAAAGTGACCACCCATGATATACTGCAATAAACTAAGAAAGAACATTTTTCAAAGACCCTTTCATTCAGTATTTGAGAGTAGCCATAAAAAAACTGCTTAAAGACTAAGTATAACTCTTTCCTCTGGGAAGGAAGCAAAATTACTATCCTAAAGCTAATTTGGAAAATTTTATCAGAATACTGAAAAATGAAATAATGTAAATTTCCACTCATTTACCACTCACTGGTTTGAGACCATTGAAACTATTTAAGGTATCAAAATATGTTTCCAATGGAAATGGCAACAATCCTGAGGTAGGTACCTGCTGTCACACAGGTTTTATCTTGCTCTTTTCAGACAAACTAACAAAAGGTATGGTACTAAATGATCGGAAAGACTCTGATTAGAACTATTGATTTTTTTTCCACAGAATTTTCAAGCTGATCTCAAACTCATTTGTCACAGAATAATTGGTTATAATGAACAGCACAAGTCAATCTCTTTGACCTTGAACTCACACACTCTCCTCAGAATCAAAATGTTGCCAAATATAGTACTGGAATATTAATGGCTATATATAAGGAACCCTTAATATTCCACACTGAAAACATTCTGAAAAATATCAAACAATCTGAAAAGGTCTAATAACTTTCATAAAAAGCATCTAACGCTTGTTTAAAAATTAAGGGTTTAAAAAGAAAAAAAAATACGTATTTTTAAATAATGATACTTCCTCCAAAGATCCTTTTTCAAAACAACAGTAATCTACCTAGAATTCAGGTAGTTATTTAATAATCTTATCCACCTTGAATAAACCTTTGTGACTCCTGGTGTGGCACTGCAGGATAAGCAATGAACTACGAATCAAAAGGTTGGCAGTTCAAATCCACCAGCTGCTTCTCAGAAACCCTGAAGAGGGTCACTTTGAGTTGGAATCAATTCGAGGGCACTTAACAAAAACATAAGGAATTTAAGATTAAAATGGAGCTGAAGAATCGGTTGGTGTTCTTCGAGTCCATGCACTTTACTTACAAACGGTATGTGGCACACCAGGCTCATCATTTTGTGAGCAATTCCTACCAATGTGCTAATTTAATTTCAAAGTCTAGGATAGATTTGAAACAGCAAATTTGAAGGTAGATGAGGACCTGTTATGTAGAAAGGTGTAAGAAATGACACCTGAGAAAAGATAAACAGCAAGACGTGAACATAACAGCTAAAAAAGCTAAGGAACCAGGGCAATCTGGGACAACACAGCAGACCCTGCTCACACGATGATTTTAAAGTTCAGGAGTTTTCTCAAACCATCAAAAAGAAAAGTTTAAATATGTTTAAGAATTTAGATAGAAGTACTTCAGAAAGATTTCTACCTAAATACTAGGATTAACTCAAAAAGTACCACACACAAAAAAAGAAAATTCACAGAAACCTTTATTAAACATAAATACCAAAATGTGAAAGGAGCCCTGGTACTGCAGTGGTTACAAATCGGACTGCGAACCGCAAGGTCAGCAGTTTGAAACTACCAGCTGTTCCGCCGGAGAAAGATGAGGCTTTCTGCTCTTGTAAAGATTTACAGCCTCAGAAACCCTGTACAGGGTCACTATGAGTTGGAACAGACTCCAAAGCACATAACCATCACCAAAATGTGAAGCTATTATTTCTCAACATATTCTTCATCTAGGTAAGTGTGTACATTTCTAAAGGCCATGTTTCTAACTCTTTTAGCCTCTCCCAAAAGTATTTTGTGCTCTTTGATTTACACCACAGCAAAATGGCAGTTTTGGCATCCTCCAAGAGACTCAAATCATGCTCCTTTGAAGTGCTCTTTGAGCTTTCAGGACAAAAAGTCTGAAAAGGGGCAAGATCAGGATCAGGGATATGGAGAGGGTGGGGTAAAATTTCTCAACAAAATACTCACAGGACAGCTTACACTCAAAAAAAAGAATGAGCAAGTCCCATGTTGTGATGGAGGAACAAAAAATCCTCAGTTCAACTTCCCCTGTCCTTTTTCTCATCAAAACAGTTTTCTATTTTCCTAAACCTTCTTCACAATAAATTCTGTGATCATACTGGATCTTTGGAGAAAATCTCCTGTGCTGCCTTCTATGCCTTGAAATTAACTGGCCCAGAAAAAGCTGTTTTGATTGAACCTTGCATTATGGATCATACTGGTTAAGCCAAGACTGTAACTCCATAAAAATCATCTTAATTAGCTTCCATCTTGTTTCAAAGTTTGTCTTCTTGCAATGCTTTTGGCACCTATCAAGCCAAAAGCTTGCAGAGGCCACAAGATGTTCATTTAGATAGAAATTTGCATTTGATCTAATTGTAAATGATTTTCTCAAAATGGCTTTTCCACCACAGCACAAAAAGTATCCTATTTTTAAAGGCACCCTAATCAGACTAAGTTATGTGTATTACTAAGACAAGTTGTCTGCAGCTATCCGCTGATCAGAGAGATATGTTTCAACATGTTTGGTTGTTAATAAACTCATATAAACTGGAAGCCTCATGGCAATATTTTCTGACTTATGCTCATAGATTTGTCCTTCATTATGAGTAGGACTGCTATCTGTAAAGTCAGTAGTTCAAATCTATCAGTCGCTCTTTGGAAGAAAGATGAGCCTTTATGCTCCTATACATTTTTTTTACAGCCTAAAAAAGCCTGTACAGGGCCACTATTAGTTGAAACAGACTCAGCAGCACACAACCACCCACAACCAGCACCACATCATTATCAACTGCACAAGTGTAAGAATGTAAGTATAAAGCACATTTAATTAGGGAAACATCTAGAAGGCTTAAAGTAAAACAACAACAAAAATCTACTTCCAGTCCTATTTTGTGTACCCAGGAAATCAACTCATACAAATTCAGACATTCATTTATTTATAATTATTTATATTTTCATACTTAAATGACTTTCCCTACTGAAACTGCCTTTAAAATCCGTTTCACCCGTAATTTGTTTACGTCTACAGAACTCTTTAGTTGTTATTAGGTGCCACAGAGTCAGCTCCAACTCACAAAGACCCTTTCATCGTGAGGTACCACTGAGTCTGTTCTCATTCATAGCAACCCTATGCACAACAGAGCAAAACACTGCTCGGTTCTGCCCCATCCTCACAATCATTTTTATATTTGAGGCCATGGTTGATGTCACTGTGCCAATCCATTCCACTGGGAATCTTTCTCTTTTGTGCTGACCCGTCACTTTACCAAGCATGATGTCCTTTACTAGGGACTGGTTTCTCCTGATAATTCATTCTACGTATGAGAGATGAAGTCTCGCCATCCTGGCCTTCCAGGGACAATTCTGGCTGTACTTCTAACATTGATTTGTTTGTTCTTCTGGTAGTCCATTGTACTTTTAATATTCTTCTCCAACACCATAAATCAAATCACTAATTCTTCTATGGTCTTCCTTATTCAATATCCAACTTTCAAATGCCTATGTGAAAATACCACAGCTTGGGTTAAGTGTAACTTAGTCCTCAAACTGACATCTATGCTCTGGAACACTTTAAAAAGGTCTTATAGAGCAGGTTTGCCTAATGCAATATACAGTATAGTTTCCTGACTGCTGCTGCATGAAGGTTGGTAGTTAATCCAAGCAAAGTGAACCTCTCACAACTTCAGTCTTTTCTTCATTTATCCTTATGTTATTTACTGCTCCAGTGATGAGGACTTTTGTTTTCTTTACATTGAAGTGTAACCCATACTGAAGACTGTGTGGTCTTTGATCTTCATCAGTAAGTATTTTAAGTTCTCTTTGCTTTCAGCAACAAGACTATATCATCTGCATATTCTTAATGAGTCTGCCTCCAATCCTAATGCCATATTCTTCTTCATATAATCCCCAGCTTCTTGGATTATTTGCTCAGCATGTTGTTGTTGTTAAGGGCCGGCGAGCCGATTTCAAACCATAGCAACCCTGTATAGGGTTTCCAAGAAGCAGTTGGTGAGCTTATTGCAGTTCAAATGGTTTTGCAGTCTGGTGCATTAACCCACAGCGCCACACCAACGTAAGTATGGTGAAAGAATACCTTGGCACATACCTTTCCTGATTTTAAACCATTCCATGTAACTTTTATAATATGATTTTGGTCACTAATATTATAAAAGTAATGTGCAGGACTTAAAACATATTTTCAACCAAATCATCTTAGACATACAAAGTAGGGAACTAGCTATATAAACTGAAAATATTATAAAAGTTTTTAGCAAAGAAGTCTTTTAAAAAACTAACTGCCTTCCTTGATTCAATTTGAAACTCTAAAATATTTATACAGTTATTGATTTGGTTTTTTTTTTTTTAATCACCCTTCTACTAAGATCTTATTAAATGTTGATTCCATATTTTGACTTTATATTTATGCTTCAGATTTAAAAACAAATACTGTTACAACTGAAGTACCAGTGTGGCACTATGGATTAATGGACTGGACTGTAACCTTGATTTGAATTGCAAGGTCAACAGCTCAAGCTTATCAGCCACGCCTCAGAAACCCTATACAGGTAACAGATTCCAAGGCACTTAACAACAACAACAACAACAACTGTTACAGTTGCTACTGTTAAAATTGCTACAATATTTTATTAGAAAAAAATTACCAAACTAGTAAACTTTAACTAATAAAAGATAAAATCAGTCTTTTATTTGGTTTTTATAGAATTTAAAACCTAACTTTCCTAAATCAGACTCTAAGGAAACCCTCCCATCATTATTTTATTATATTAATATGTTAATATATTATACTAATGAATTACATGGTATATAAATTTTATCCGCATGTTAACAGCTCCCATGTACCAGGTCCCACACAAAAACAATGTCCTTGTAACAGATAAGGAACTTCAGGCTTATGCAGATAAAGTAATTTGCCCAGGGTTACACTGCTAACAAGCTTCCTGGTGCGGTGCTCTGGGCTACTGTGCCAGACTGCAAAGTCATCTGAACTGCAAGGTCGGTGGTTCAAGCTCACCAGCTACTCCTTGGAAACCCTATACAGGGTTGCTATGAGTCGAAATCCACTCAACGGCACCTAACAAGAACACTGCTAACAAGTGACAGGTCATTCCAAAGACTGTTTTCAGGAGTCCCAGGGTAGGACAATTTACCTATACTAGACTACTTTGCTTTGCTTTGTTGTTGCTGTTAAGTGCCGTCAAGTCGATTCTGACCCATAGCAACCCTGTATACAGTTTCCAAGGAGCAGCTGGTGAGCCTGAACCACTGACGTTACAGTTCAAACGACTTGCAGTGCCATATCAGGACTCCATGGACTCCTTTGATAGTACCTAAATTTTAAAGACATTGCCCTATTTTTATACCAGCATCTCTAAGGAAGACTCTAGAATTGAAACAGCTATTGTATAGTTGTTCAGTGCCATCTAGTCAGTTCCAACTCATAGTGATCCAGTCAGTATAGGGTTTCTGAGAGCACCTAGTGGGTTTGAACTGCCAATTTTGCAATCAACCAGCACAGTGCTTATCCTATAGCACCACACCAGAACTTCAAGTGTTGTTGTTGTTGTTCAGTGCTATTAAGTCAGTTCTAATTAACAGTGACCCTGTATAGGGTTTCTGAGACTGAGGGTCTCGTGGTATGTAGCCCAGTGCTGATCCTACAGCATGACACCATAAATCACATTCATTTGTTTTATAGGAGGATCAATGACCTTTGGTCCAGCCATAAGTTTTTTGATGCCTGACAAGAGTTCATATGAAAACTTCATGACCAATATGGTATTAACTAATATTAATCACCAATATCCAAGAAAAAAAACTAATTAACTAGTCAAAACTATATCAAGGTTCAAGTAAGATTACTAGAAACCTATCTACATGTATTTGTTATTTGTAACTACATTTTGCATTTATTTTAAATTAGTAACAAAATATATATACATATATAGTTTAAAACAAATACTCTAAAACCCTTATTTATGGATCAAAAATAAAGTTGGTTCTATCAAACCCAGAAAGGTCAACTCTATTTATCAGGGCTCAGAAAACTAGAATCTCCAGGAAAAATCCATCCCACCACCATGTTTTCTAAATAAAACCATGACAACAATCAGTAAAGGATTATCTCTCACTGTTTTTGTGCTAATAGTCACAACAGAAAGAGTCTGGACAATAAAGCCTAAAATAATTACTATAAGGGCCTCTACAGAAATTTTACTAACCTATACAACAGTAATTCTACAACTACATAACTACATAGGTAAAATAGTCTAATATCGCAATAGAGTGAAAACACATGGTTACTGAGTTAAAAGAAGGACTCAATTCAAAACGCACAGGGGAAAAAAAAAGGGGGAAGACGTTTTTGTGAACACATGAAGAAACTAAAACAAGTAAGAAGTTCATGTTAATCCTAAGGCTTCCTGAGTGAGATGAAATTTGTTTATTTTTTTAAAAAAGTCTTACCTCTGGTTCCGTTTTTGCTTCTTCTTTAGTTTGAACCAATGGGCTAATGGGCTTGACTTTCACTTCGGTCTTTCCCTGCACGTTCCTGGAAGCCATCACAGACCTCGTGGGTGCTGATGTGCTTATAATAGGTTTTACTTGAGCTGCAGGTGTGGAGGAGCAACGATTGTTACTCATTTCTATGATATGGGATGGAGCTATTGGTAATTCACGCAAATTACTATTCCTTGGAGCAGTTGGCTGCATTTGTTGAATTGGCCGTTTGCTTACATTCTGTGAAGTTGTGTTCTATCACAAGAAGAAAGAAATTCTAATTAAAACTGGAAACTTGGGAAGATAACAAAAAGGCAGGTAATAAACATTTCTCTTTGAAGAACAGGTGCTTTCTTCATTGGTAAATACTTTTTCTTCATGCATAAATGTTCCCTGATCTAGGTAGCAACATAGCTTTGGTGTAAAGACTTGAAGTAGTACAGTTATCTTATTTCCTTACTGATATGCTCTTTCTATAAATTATACCAGTGTGATTTTTCTCAAATGATACATCAGCTTTCATTTTTATCAGTATCAGTAAAGCCAAAAAATGACTCTGGCTGCCAAAAGGAATGGACTCTATTAATGGTATTAACACTTCTAATTAGTTAACAAAACTTAAGGTGGAATGAAAATTTAAATCAATGTCCTAACTCCTCAGAGGAGAAAGACACCACAAAATTTTTAGAGAGGAAGTTATCAGCCATGCTTATCCTAGGAATACTTAAAAAAGAGAGCCTCAACAATAGGAAGAGTTTCTAAGTAAGTGACATAGCAAAGAAGAAGAACTGAGCTTCAAAATCAACCAGGTCAAATACTTAAGGGCACAAGACTCCTGATATATATTCTACCATTATTCTAACAAAATAAAATCTGGGTTAGAAAGCATCTTCTTCTTAAACCTAAAAATCCTTTCTTCTAGCATTTTCATTTGTACGCTACGTTAATTAAAAAAAGGGACAGTTAGTTTATAAGAAAAATTGAGCTACAATATGGTTGTGGGACACACGTTACACCCAAGGGGATAGAGTGGTGCCTGACAACAAATGATAGTCCATAAACTTTCCCTGATTGCATTTACTCATATTTGTTCAAAGAACGGATGTAGAGATGAACTATGCATTAAAAAGTAATCCAACGGCAAAGGTAGAGTATTAATAAAAAATATTTTCTAATATTATGTGTCTATTAATTAATAGTATCACAGTTTGCAATCTGTGGCTAACCTAAACACTTGGTGGTCTAAACCCACCCAGTGGTACCACAGAAGAAAAGCCTGGCGATCTGCTTCCATAACAGTCTAGAAACCTTGTATAGCAATTCCACTGTCAAACGAGTCACAATCAACTTGATGGCAACAAGTCTGTTATGGTCGAAATCACTACACAAAGACCTAGATCTAATAGAAAGATTAATACAGTTTTCAAGGTACCAAAAGGATAAGCACCAAAGGGAAATTTCCTGTATATTTAAAGAAGCATCCATTTCCAGGGGGTGGGGGGAGTGTTAAAGCATTATTTAATCAATTTAAATTAGAAAAAGAAACAATTCTAACAGACAAATAATGCTTCTCAAGTTCTGTAAGTTAAGGGTATACAAGGAAGCCATTAGAACATGGCTTGGTACTTACATGCCTTAGACCCTGGCGCTGGGGGCACTGCATTCTACTGTTATTTGGCTGAGGCTGAGTAGTCTGCATATGAGGCCTAAACTGTGGCTGAGACATGGGCATCAGAGGTGGAGGAGGAACAGAAAGGTGGTGATGATGCTGATGCTGCTGGGGCTGATGTGGAGGCTGGTGCTGTGGTTGGTGAGGAGGTTGATGCTGGGGAGGAGGTTGATGTGGAGGCTGATGTGGTGGTTGGTGTTGGGGCTGAAGCGGGGGCTGGTGCTGGGGCTGGTGCTGATGATGCTGTGGTTGATGTTGGGGCTGCTGAGGTTGTTGCTGTTGGGGCTGAGGCTGATGTGGAGGTGGCAATGGAGGATGCAATGGCCCCTTCAGATTCAAAAGAAAAGAGAAACAATCATTTATAAATGCATATCCTAGTTAGACTTCAATTCAATCATTTTCTTAAAAATCTCAAACCAAAAGAAACTTTGGTATTAAACCTACATGACATACATTTTGATGACGATAACACACTTTCTTAAATGCAGTAATTTAGAGGTCTTTTGGGGTGCTGTAGGATAAGCATTGGACTCCTGACCCCACGTGGCTACCGGTTCAAACGTACTAGTCACTCCTCAGAAACCCTATATGGGGTCGCCATAAGTCAGAACTGATTCAACAGTACTTAATAACATAATGAACTAAATGTAGTAATAAGTAAAAAAACTACTATCTTTAAATTTATATTTGTCCCAAGTTTTTCTTGTCCCAGTAAATTCTAGGAAGTCATCCTAAGAAAATAACTAAAGATGTCAGCAAACACTTGACCTCGTGGATGTTCTCTGGAATACCATTGACAATATCACAACACTGGGAAAAAAACAAACATGTATAAGTGCAAGTATGTTGTTGTTGTTAAGTGCCGTCGAGTCGGTTTCGACCCATAGAGACCCTGTACAGGGTTTCCAAGGCTGTAAATCTTTACGGGAGCAGAACGCCTCATCTTTTTCCCGCGGAGCCACTGGTAGTTTCGAACTGTTGGCCTTAAGGTTCGCAGCCCGATTCGTAACCACTACGCTACCAGAGCTCCTTAAAGTGCAAGTATAGATAGCTATAAAATGTAAGGTTCTGCAGCAGCAGCATTGAAAATTGATGTGGTGAAAGCAAATTCATCAGCAGAAAAACATCTTGATCCATTAATTGGGGAACAAAAAGGCATGGTGATGAGAATGTGTGCATGAAAACTAGACTGAACATAATATACATGCAAACGGGAGTGGTAACTGTTTCTGGGTGATGGGATTATTTCATTTGTTTGATATTAATCTATATTCTAATAATAGTTCAATACTCAAGATGTATGGATTGTATTTATTTTAAGAAAAATTAAAACCTATTTTATTCTACTATAATAACTTTAGACACATAGTCCAAGTATTCCTAAATAGCTGATTCAAACATACCATCACTGTAACATTTAATAGCAAACTTAAAATTGAAGAAGAAATATACTAGTAAGGAATATGTCATAAATACACACGTTAACCCATGAATTATGAATTCATCACCAGAGGGCACTCAAGTCTTTTAAATAATGAGTGAACAGCAATATTGTGTCTACACAAAGAATTTGTTCACTATCTGAAGGTAAAGTAAAAATGTTGGTAGAAGGTCTCAAGTTCACACATACATGGGTTTATTCCAAACAAAAGGTGACTAAGCATGCTTCTCTGATAAGCAGACGGCTGTAGACAAGTTCTCTTTGTAATACATCTGTCTTAGTCTCAAGATGCCTTTCAAAAAGAGGTCCAATCAAAACAAAGGGCTTCTAAGGGGCTCTGCTGGGCCAGTTAAATTCTAGGCAAAGAGGTCAACTCAGAAGATGATGGTGATTTTATGGAATTCCCAAGTAGTCATTTTGAGGTATTTTCTCAAAAGACACAGGACCATCATGGGCCCTTATTATGAAGAAGTATTAAGAAAACTGAAAACTATACTGGTGAGAAAAAGGCCAGGAAAGTTTTACCAAGGAACTTCTTTCCATCATGACAATGCACCTATTCATTCATTGAAGATAGCAAGAACTATTTTCTTTAAGACTTACATTAGAAAATCTTACTCCATCCACCTATGCCTTAACTGGCCCCCTCAGACATCCTTTTTATTCCCCAAATTCAAAGAAAATTAAAAAGGAACACAATTTGAGTCCCTTGAGGATACTGTTTTGACATAGTGTGAATCAAAGAGAACAGAATTCTTCAGGGAAGGGTTTGTTGTTGTTAAGTGCCGCTGAGTAGATTCCAACCCATAGCGACCCTTTATAGCGTTTTCCAGGAAGCAGCTAGTGAGCTTGAACCACCAACCTCGCAGTTCAAACAACTTTGCAGTCTGACACATTAGCCCACAGCGTCACATCAGGACTCCAGGGAAGGGTTAGAGAGATGAAAACACAGCCTTCAGAAGTGTATACACCTAGATGGAAGATGTGTCCAGTAACTAGGGCTTAACTTTATGATATTTTTGTTTAATAAAGGTTTCTATGATTTGTAGCAATCTTTGTTTTTTTAACTTACCGCTGTATACAGCAAATACAGATTTTAACAAAGTACTCTATTTCCACTGACATAAACCTTTTAAGAAATCTTTTCAATATCAGCAAATGCAGTGCCAGAAAACATGCTAATTTTGTTAGTACATCCTTTTAAAAATCTTAGTACTTTTTTCATTTCCTAAAAAAATGACATTTTCCATTTCTCCACCTGTTATGAATATAAACAGTAAATGCCAAGAACGTTGTCTTTAATAAACAGCACAATTAGTCTTTAAATAACCTCCACAAATGACTAGGTTAGAATAAAAATTCTACACCTTCAATTTTATGAAATGCATACATTCAAAGTTACATGTATATCCTCCTCCCGCCCCAAAGTTTACTCATAATGCATACCTGCAGATTAGGCTGTGCATGTGTTGGTAGAAACGGCTGTCCGGGGCCAGGCAAGAATGGCTGTCTAGGAGGAATATATGGCCGGGCACCTGCTGATCCAGGCTGGTTAAAGTGAAGAATCCCCACAGGGCCTGGAGGCTGAAGGTTTGGTCTTACTGGCCTTTCTCTTGGAAATCCTGGTTGCTGTCCTTGTTGATTAAATGCTGGTCCAGGCTGAGTGAATGGTAAAGAACTCTGAGTAGGAACAGGATGACTACTGTTAAGAAGTGTTGGAGGAGGTGGTGGCGGAGGTGGACTTCGTTGCTCCAGAAAAAGATGACTTGGGAACCTTGGTTCACCTGAAACTAAATGGTCGTACAAGCACATTACTTGTTAGGTAATACAGCACATGCATTCCTTAGAGAAGCGTTTTATATATTGTCTAAATATGGCCCAAAGTTACAGGGCATGAATGCTTGAAAACAAATTATAATTCTACATTTTCTATCTAATTTCGAGACTACCTCATTAGTTATATTCTGTAAATGTTTTCCTCCTTTGTATGATATTTCTACATTTCAGACACCAAAAATACCCAACTTCAGTGTCTGAAGTAACAAAGAACAGCTGTGTTATAAAAACCTGACATTCTTAGCAAAATTTCCTATTAGGAGTTTAGTTCAGTTTTAAAATCTAAGTATGTTTTGCTAGGTTTCTTTTTGTACCTCCTAAAAAGAAAGGTTCTCGTTCCTGAGGAGGTGGTGGGGCTCTCCATTGGTCCTGAAGAGGAAGTCGTGGGGGCTGGCTAAAATTATTAGGAACAGGCCCAGGTGTATGCTGTGGAAATTCTGGAGGGCCCTAAAGAAGAATAAAAAAACACAGTGTGAAAACGCAGAAACACAAGCTGTAGTTTTCAGAAACATACATACGGTTCTAAGTTTTTCTCTGAAAATATCAAATAGCTTATTTCTTACATTCCATGGAAGATGATACTCAAATTAGTCTCCAATGATGAAATAGTAAAAAAACACTAACATACACTATCTAGAAAGGAATTAAATGTTTCAGTATTACTATAGCACCACAAGAATATGATTTCATAAGCTTACTGAATTCCCTACATTTACTGACTCCTCTCCAATTAATCTGGAACGACAGAATGTCTACTTTGGAAGCTCCTGACATTTATCTTCTCAAATCATGCTGTTCTTTGCTCATTTAACACAACCGTTAAGCTATGGTAATGAAACTGCTTTACTTCAAAAGAAATTCAATTTGTACTGTAACAAAAAACAGCCACCTCTGATGAAACAGGATATGTAAATGTTTAAGATAGCAAATTACTAACAAAGAAATATTATATTTTCATTAGATAAAAAACAATTAATGACTTTCTCAATACCTGCCTGCTACTAGAACAGGTTTTCAGCTGGGTTTTCTTCAAATATTCAGGGAGATTTAAAAACTATCCATACTTAAACATTGTTAGAGTTTTTCAAAAGACTCAGTTTTCACTCTTTCAAAAAGTAATTCACTAATTTTTATATATCCTCAAAAAAATTTTTTTATTTCATAGCACCTCATCCTTTGAAACCGAGCCAGTATTTTTCAACTCATTCTTGTTTCTCAAAAACTTAAAATTTACCTTTTTAAGAATTTTAAAGCTAATAGAATTAGCTCCTTTCTAGATGTGGCCTTATTTTGCAATATTCTGAATGCTTTCAAAACCACATTTGCCTTCCTTCTCTTCTCCCTTAAAAAACCTACCCTTACAACACACGCTGAGATTCACTGCTGAAGTGAGGCATCACGAGGATAATGCAAAATGAGTATTAGTGAAACCAAAAGGTCAACAATTACCCTACAGCAAAGGTAACAGGGCAGGGAAAAGAAACTTCTAGAAACAAAACAACCAGAATACAATTCAAGGGAAGGTTGAGACACAAGGAAAAAATTAATGAATATTGCTGAAAAATGTATGTGGTGGTATGATGTCAAGTTGGTACCAACTCATAGCGACTCTGTATGAGGTTTAGAAGACTGTCATCTTTACAAGAGCAGAAAGACTCACCTTTCTCCCATCTATAAGGCGTCATTGTTAGGTGCCATTGAGTTGGCACCGACCCACAGCAACCCTACGAACAACAGAATGAAATACTGCCCAATCCTGGGCCAACCTCAAAATTGATGCTACGTTTGAGCCCACTGATGTTACCATTGTGCCAATCCATCTTGCTGGGGGTATTCCACTTTTTCTCAGACCCTCCACTTTACCAAACATGATATCCTTCTCCAGTGACTGATCCTTCCTGACAACATGTTCAAAGTATGAGAGATGAAGTCTGGCCATACTGGCTACAAAGGAGCACCCTGGGTGTACTTCTTCCAATACACATCTGTTTGTTCTTTTGGCAATCCATGGTACTTTTAATATTCTCCTGCAATACTGGAACTCAAATGCATCAATTCTTCTACGGTCTTCCTTACTCACTACCCAACTTTTGCATGTATCTGAGGTTATTGAAATTACCATGCCTTGAGTCAGGTGCACCTTAGTCCTCAAACTGACATCTTTGCTCTTCAACACTTTAAAGAGGTCTTGTGCAGC